GCTGATCTTACTAAAATTAACATAAAGACAGTAAGATTCTGGAGAAAGGTTCTCTTTGTCAACTTTAGTTTATTATAAGACTAGCCCCATTTTTTCTCCCCATGCTCCATCCATCTATTTTAGAGGTCTCCATCACCCTCAAAGCAGTTTTCCAGTGGTGCAGGTAGGTGCTAAGGGGAGAGAATACTTTCTTGCGTGAAGTTCTTCAAGTAAACTCATTACAAGAGTCACAAGCCTGTGTTACATTAACATTTTTAATAGGTTATCAATTGAAATTAAGTCCAAATTTAATTTTCAAAATATTGAAAAATAACTAGGAACATCAAAGTTTATGACCGAAATCAATATATCAACAATCTGAGAAAGGATATTAATGGAGGAACAGCACTAGGTGTACTGTCAGAACTTTGCTAGCGCTGTTCAGTATAAGGGCTCCCATTGCATGAAGCATTGAATAAATTATGGGGCAAGAACTGAGAGTCTTTCAGCTACAGTCAAGTGAAAAAGTAACTGAAATGTTTGACTTTTTCAACATATTTCAACATAAAGATATCTGATCTTCATTTCAACAATACTGATAAAGAGGATGTAATATAACAAATATCATGCACCATTTACATCTTGTAGTCCATTTGTGTAATTTAGATGAACATAAATGCAAATTTCACATGTGGAAAAAGTAAGTACACCCCTACATTTATCACTACCTCACATACCTAAAATTAGAATCATGTGCACCAGATCAGGTGCAAATGATTAGAACATTATTAAAGAGGATCTAGAAGAAACCTGTCTTACTGAACCCTCAGATATTTAGTTTGATTTGCTCTTTGTTGTTGAAGTATGTGGTATCACCATGCCTAGATTGAAAGAGCTCTCTGGAGTCTTCAGAAAGGTATTGATGCCTATGAGACTGGGAAGGGATTTTAAAGGCTGCCAAACAACTGGACATCAATAATTTCACTGTCCAGAAAATCATCTACAAGTGGAGATTTCAAACAACTGCCAACTTGCCCAAGCCAGGCCATCCCAGCAGGTTCAGCCCAAAAGCAGAATGCAAGAAGCTGAAAAAAGCCTCTAAGAACCCCAGAATTTCATCACATGACCTACAGGTAGCTCCCACCACTACTGACGTCAAACTCTGTGAATCTACCATTAGAAAGGAGCTGCACAAATTAGATCTATGTGGGAGGTATGCCAGGAGGAAACCTTTGCTGTCCAGAAAGAACATCAGGGCAAGTTTTCTCATTAACACCTAGGCAAAGACCAGAACTTCTGGAACAATGTGCTCTGGACAAAAGACGCAAAGATAAGGAGATCTGGCCACGGTATCAGAAGACACGTTTGGTGAAAATACAGCATTTTGCCAGAAGAACCTGATACCAACTGTAAAGCATAGTGGTGGAAATGTTATGGTTTGGGGCTGCTTTGCTGCAACAGGGCCTGGGCAGCTCACCATCACAGAATCCACTATGAATTATTCTTTGTACCAGAGGGTGCCTGAGGATAATGGGAGACCATCTGCCAGAAGACTGAAGCTTAAAAGAAACTGGACCTTACAATATGACAGTGACTCTAAACATTCTAGTAACTCCACCAAGGGATGGCTGAAAAAAAGGAAATGGAGAATTCTGGAATGCCTACTTAAGGTTGTTTTGGCCAAAGGGGGAAATACCAGGTGTTGCAGCCAAGGATGTACTTACTTTTTCCAGAGAAGAAAATGGCATATCTGTTAATTTTTTGTTGAATAAATGATTTCAAAGTCAATTTTCCATAGCTTTATTTTTTGTTCAATTACATCACCTTTATCTTTCTATACTGTTTGAATGAAAATAAAATATTTGTATGTCCACATATGTTAAAAAAGAAAAACAATATACGGCACATACTTACTTTTTCATATGACTATGTCTGATGACTCTTAGTTTCACACCCAGTGAAGTCTATATTGGCTGTTCCAGTTACCAAAGCTTTAAGACTAACTGTTCTTAAAAGAAAAGGAAAGTACAGGCATACAAAACAAGGAGATCAGTAGCATTTTAGGTAAAGGAATATATAATCACTATAACTAAAAATAGCTAAGCAATGCAGAGTTCATTAGTTTTGCGTGACATTTGGACAAAAAACAACAGTTAGACTCAATCAAGTATAAAAAAAACTGAATATGTCTTTAAATATGGGCAACAGACATCTATGGAATCTGTGCCAAATCATGATCAATGGGGCAACACTGATGCAATTTTATGTAAGAAATCCATTAGATACATGT